AATAAATTTGAAAATTGTCAACGTCGCTTAGAAAATACAAAAATTTCATATCTATTTCAAACACGTGACAAAAAATCTGGTGATTTATGGTAGGGTAGTGTATAATACGACTAAGAGTCTTAATAAACTTTATAAAATGACGCTTGAATGAAGACCGTGTGTAACTCAAGTAGACATATTTGGTGGGGATAAGCAGATTTTGCACCACCGACAGGTCATCCAATGAGAGTTAAGGCTGATGAGAAAAAAATCATGTGACTGCCTGCAAATGTGCACCATTACTAAGTTACTACCTCTTCTCCATCAAACTCATCTTCAAGTCAAGATACGATACACAACAGTGAACAACTATCTTGAGCATACAAAACCATCTACTAATAAAACACTCCAACAAACCACTACCACTCACCACATAACAAACAATAACAACATTAACAACATCACAATGAGTGAAAATGGATCAACCCACAGCACCAACTCATTTCCAGAACTCCGAACTAATATGTTCAATGAAACCCATTCTGTACCTCAACACCGAATCTGAATTAACAATCAGACCAACCATTCCAAATCCCTTGTCAATGACATCCCAAGTATGCACCTTGAGCAGCGAGAATTGGAACCTGGCAGCACAACTCAATGCACAAATAACATCAACAATGAACAGAGATATAGACCTAAATTTCTTAATTCAAGAGATGGATCCATTAAATACAGAACAAATAGTCTAATACCTCACAGACCAATTGGACTCACCAATGGAGAATACCTGGATGAACCACTTAGACCAGGAACAATACAAGGAATCGAATATACTGAGGATGGAGAATTACTCATCTTCCAAGAAATCAAATGCCAATATAAAGCTCCAAGAGTTGAGCAATCCAATCCAATCCATGAATCCAATCATGCATCAAAATCAGTCTGGCATAATCGACAACTGACACAGAATAGGGACGAATATGATTCTGACGACAGATATGATCCATACTCTAGAGTGTCTACCCCAGACATCTATGGCATCTACGAAGAATGGGATTGATTGGGATCTGATAGTGGAAGATGAATGGGAGGAAGAAAAATGGACAGAGAGTGAAGGAACAGAGTTGGTTAGCAACAAGGAGTCGGAAACGGAAGAAATACAAAGTGGATCAAAAGACAAAAAAAGAAAACAATCTACGGAATCCAGATCCACAGGATTGAAGCTCTCCATGAAGCCTCCAAAGGAAAGAAAATCCCAAGAACAATTGTCCACAGAACTTAAGAAAATGTTCAGCAGCTCAGAACGTGCTGAGAAATTTAGAAGAAAGTGGAAGGAGAGAAAAGATAAAGAGGAGGAAAAGAAATGGAGGGAGATATGGGATGAAATAAGAAAAGAGATGGAGTTAGAATTAAAAGGAAGGGGACGACTAAGTAAAGAGATGTATTATAGGATGGGAAAAATACTAATAGATTTTAAAAAGGGAAAGAAAGACATTCCAAGACATCGCGGCAGAACGGCGATAAAAGTTTATTTGACGTATAAAGATAATGAAGAATTCGATGATGGGATAAAAATAAGAGAAATTAACAAAGAAAAAAAGGCGGGATTAAAAGAGTTAACTAGAAAAAAAAAAAAAAAAAAAATAGGAGAGTAAGATTTTAGGAGGGAGATAACTGTTACGGCGCACTGATCTGATGAATCAGATAAGTAAGTCACATGGTAAAATCTTCCTCCGCAGTCATGCAGATCCAATGATCGACAAT